GGCTCTTCCAGTCTTCCGGCTCCAAGAACTAACAGGAGAGACAGCCCCAAGCCCTAAGAACTGTGGCCTCCCCAGCGCGGCTGTTCTACACGCTGAGTCTCGACACACTGGGCGCAGAACTCAAGCGCGCACGTTTTGTGTTCGGCCGCTAACTGACTACAAGGAGACTTGCCTCAGCTTGCACCGGTTTCTACACAGGATTCAAAAACATCCACAGGAACTAATACGACACCTCTACCTACCTGGTTTGGATTTTGATTTTCTCCCCTCTTCAGAAACCGGCTGAACTACATTGTTCTTGGAAGTTTCTAATCCTTTACTGTCAGACTAAAAGAAAAAAACATATATAAAGTATTGTTTCACATTTTATGTTCCTGAAAAATAGAAGCAAATTAAAAACTGAGACAATAATGTAAATACTGGCATATGATCTGAGATATACGGAAGGGGGAATATCAGGAAAAGGGGCGAGAGAGATTTGAGTAAACATAACCTGAACTAGCATGACAATGAGTGTGAAAATGGGGGACATCTCAGCAGCAGCACAGGCAGGATTTGTCGAGGGCAAAAGATGCAAATGAGCCGAGGACCACCCGCCTCAAAATGCCAACTGAGAGACACCTTTAAGCGATTCATTTGGAAGCTGTGATTAAAGACAGATTACACACTTATCTTCACTCAGAGCATTTAGCATAAGTGAACACATCTAGAATACTCAGAAGAGTATCCTCTCAACTATTTATCTCTGTATTTAGAGGCCTCAAGTGGAGGTGTTTCTTCTTGTCCTCTGTGCAGCTCTTTCAGTTCTTTTTTGTCATTAAATGGCTTCTTTCAACCACTGTCTTCTCTCCTTTTGTCTGATTGGGGTAGGGACATTAAATCGTTAATGCTGTTAATTTCTTCAGTGTTCTTTTCAATGATGCTCAAACTCTGGGGTGCAAAGGTTCATAATTTTTCCTGAATAGCTGTCCAGACATCTGTAAGTCCCAGATGCTGGTTAAGTATATATGCTGGCTATATATACATGCTGGTTAAGTATATATGGTGTAACGAACATCTGTAAGCTAATTCCAATAATTCCCCTGAGAGTCATCATAAAATGAAGTCATATAAGTTTCAGGATTCAGAGACGATAAGGCCCCAAGATGCAATAAAAACTACTAAACCCTTCCAAAAATGTACAAATATTTCATCATTTAGCATTCACGATAAATACATACACATTAATGCAATGTCTTTATTTTTATACTTCCTAGAACAGGTAATTTCCCAAGATGCTACTGTTATTGTGAAACATGAAAACCTACATGACAAGGGGGTTTACCTTCCCATGCCAATTCTTATTTGTTAGCACTGGCCACTCAGATCACTGAACTGAGGAGTATGAGGCATCCTGATTTGTTAGCAAAGTGTTGTGATCCATGTCATGTACTACGGGTCATGAGCAAGTGAATGAAAGCTGATGTGCCAACTATTTGACAATGTTAAGCTGAATTCTGAACTACAATGAAGTCGTTCTCCAATTTTTCCACAGTATTGCAGAGCAATATGCAATTTGCTGCTTAAATGCTATTTCTGAAAACTGTATTCAACTACTGGATTCTGTAGTAAGATGATCCAGTAATAAAGAATCACTCAATATCTACCAATAAACAAGTAGTAAAGCACATTCACTAAATGAACATATGATATGGGTCCATTCAACTTAAAGTTCATTGACTTAATAACATTCATAATAATTCAATAAACTCAGAGCTAATGTGTTTCACAGAATCTTATGCTATAAATCTAGACAAACTATGGTCCACATGCCAAATTCAGCATGCTGCATGTCTGTAAGCAAAGTTTTACTGCAACATAACCACGCGTTCTTTTGTGTTGTATCTGCTTTCACACTACAATTGCAGGCTTGAGTAGTTATGACTGAGAACACATGGCCTGAAAAACCAAAAATATTTACTAGTTGGCTCTTTATAGAGTAAGCATGCCAACCTCTAACATAAGTCACCCAAATACTGAATGTATAATCAACTCCCTTCTTCACAAATTCATAAATTCTTTAGGCTCTAAGTTACCCATGCTGTAACTTTGAAAATGTAGAAAGTCTGGTTACACTATCCTCACACGTGACAACAGTAATAAAAATATCACCTCCTCACTCTAATCACTCATATTTATTTGAGATGTGCTCATTTTTGGACGACAAAGAGCAAAAATGAAAGTAAAATCCTAGTTTCACAATTGTGGAATTTGGACTTGATTTACATTCACAGCAAAAGAAAAGCAAGGGTTACTAAACAATTTGGTATAAATACAAGATAAAAGGAGTATATACAACTTATTCAAGTCAGTAAGTTTTGCTAAGCCCAAGCACAGATGCTATACATTTAAAAAAAACCAAAATCTTTGTATTACTTAAAAAAAATCCCAAACCCATGCATCACTGTTTCAACTTGCCTTTCTTCCAATTAGTAAAAATCCCTGTTTTTACTGTATGCTAACAAAATAAAAGAACTTACAGAAAAATATGAGTATCAGTAAATTTTCAAAAAGTGCTGAGAAATCATTTATGGAAGAAATAAGAATGTAAAATGCAGCACATAAAACATGGAAGAAAAACACATTTTAGTCATTTATTTCAATGATGCCTGAATACATCAAGTTTAGTCAGTTGACTTCTCAGCACCAAAAGAAGTTGATTTCATACTGGGAGCTAATCCCACTGGGCAATGGTTCATCACGTAACCAAAAGCTAATTTGTCACCTCGAATTTTATTATCTTGATCACACATAACAGGTAAGAATATAAAATGCTTCTTGTAACTGGGAGTGATATTGCTCTCTACTTACTAGGACTTTTCAGATTTTTACATCTATGGGTCCTGAGCAACATGAATTAAAACTTACTTTTGTATTATTGATGTAATCTGTGGCATTCATCTGCACAGAATTAGTGAAAAGCTGAAAGACCAAACAAGAAAGATGATAAGTTTAAAAAATACTGAAAAGAATTGTGTGTTCAAAATTTTTACACAGCCATGTTGGGTGAAGAGATGTAGCTCCTGCACTAAGAAGATTCTATATAGTAAAACAAGTTTGGAAGAGAAAAGCAGAAAAGAAAAATAAAAGCAGAACAAGCTAGCCCATGCATTAGACAGAATCTCACACTGTAAAAAAAGTCTCGGTAAAACAGTGGGGTAAATCACTTGAGACAAATGGTGGTTCATCCTCACTTCCCTGCTTCTTCGTTATTCTCCGTTCAATTTCATTCCCTGTATTTCTTCTAAATGCCTCTGGCCTTGAGTGGCACCCACGACTGAGAGCCATGCCCCGACACTAAGCCTAACTGAACACCTTATGGTAACAACAGAATCCCCCCTATGTCGGTGGCTCCTAAACTCCACCTACGTGAAGTCCTCTGACAGAATGGCACATCTCTTTGGTTGTTTTTCATCATCTCATCTAGAAAGGGGCATCCTAAGTGCTAAGATCACTGCTGACTGCCAGTTCAGAGAAAAAACTTTTAAGTCATAAGCTTCAATGTCATTCATCTCACAGGGTTTTACTGAGCATCTAAGAAATAACTGATATCACGAAGAATACAAGATAAGACATCTTCCCTGCTCTCTAGAGCTTACAATCTAAGGACAAGGTAAGATTAATATCAAATAGCAACGTATGTTCAGAAACAATTCATTCTTTTAACAAAGACAGAGGAGCTCCAAAGCACTTAAGGAGTTAAGAGGATGGGAAGGGAGGAAAGCACATACACACATGTGACGAAGCTATGTGACATGTCTCGGTACCTGGAGAATGTTAGGTTAGAACTCAGAAAAGAAAGTATGGAAGGAAGAGTCTATCAGGAAGTATAACACTGGCAACAGTGAAGGCAGGGTATGCTCCAGAAAGGGATGAGACAGGTCGAAACAACACAGAATTACTGGGTTGACCGAGTAAGTTATACACACGGGTTCAAAAAGCAAAGCGAGGCCAGTCAGCAGATGGGGCCTCATCCGGGCAGCGAGGCGAGCCTTGGGAAAAGCGTGAGCAATCCAACCATCACTCATTCATTTTATGGGAACGAAAACACCCAAAGTTTCACAAGATATAATAAAAGGCAGAAAAGCCAGAGGCGGGTACTTCCCCACTCTCTCCAGACACTGATTCCTTTCCTTAAAGTTCCACATTTATGGGAGTCTTCTCCTTTCATACCAGCTGCTGACTCCAGAAGAGGAAGAGAGCTCAGATGCACACGACAACCACTCTCTGCCAGCTCAGCCTATCACTGCTTAAGAGACGCAACCCGGTTTGCCCCGACCCAGGGTGGCACCGGAGGAGGGCCGGCTGCCGGCTGAGTGTGAGCTCCCCTCTTCCCCTCCTGGCCTCACACCCACCACCCAATGACTCAGGGCTATCTTACATGTATCCTCAGCAGGCAAACGGCACACAGGTAAATCACACATAAGCTGACACAGGGGGCTGAATTCTCAGACCAAGCCACTTCTGCTGACTCTACTCTGGGTTACCCAGTACTGGACCCTAGAAAAGAAGCTGCAAACTCTTCTGTACACCTATGCATGTCTTTACCATCTTTGCCATCCCAAAGAGTCAGGGCCTCTCACTCTATTGCCCGGGCTGGAGTGCAGTGGCACGATCAGGGTTCCCCACAGCCTCGACCTCCTGGGTTCAGGTGCTCCCCTACTTCAGCTTCCTGAGTAACTGGGACCACAAGAGTGTGCCACCATGCCCAGCTTATTATTATTATTATTTTTTTTTTGCAGAAACGTGGTGTTTCTACGATGCCTAGGTTGGCTCAAGCAATCCTCCTGCCTCAGTCTCCCAAAGTGTTGGGATTACAAGCATGAGCCACGGTGCCCAACCTGGAGGTGGACTTTTTATTTATGACAATACAGAATAACTCAAGGAAAAAATAACGAGGGTCTTAGATGAGAGAAGCACCAGTGGAAACAGAAAGTAGGGATGGCTTGTGAATGCTATTTTAGAAAGCAGAGAGGATTTAGTAAGTTATGTGGTAAAGACAGGGAACCCCAGGTGATTCTGTGATAACTACCCTGGGGAGCAAACAGAAGTCTGATGCCACCATAGGAAATAAAGTTGTCAATAGTAGCTAGCATAGAGAATAAAGAAGAGTCTGGTGCTAAACACATAATCAGAGGCAAGATCGAACGGATGATCCCAAAGGCAAGGAATTAGAATTCAAGCCCAGTTTATTTTTAAAAGTGTCAAGAGCTGAAGACACATATTTGAGAGCAATTTTTTTTTTTTTGAGTTAGAGTCTCACTCTGTGGCCCAGACTGGAGTGCAGTGGCTGCTGCCGGCCACCGCAGCCTTGACCTGCTCGGCTCCGGCGATCCTTCCGCTCAGCCTTCCAAGTAGCTGGAACTACAGGCACACGTTACCACGCCCAGCTGATTTTTTGATTTATTGTAGAGATGAGGTCTCGCCAAGTTGCCCAGGCGGGTCTCGAACCCGCGGGCTCAGGTAATCCACTCACCTCATCCTCTCAAAGCGCGGGATTACAGGCTGAGCCACCAAGCCTGGTGAGAGCAATCTTATTAGCCAAAATCTCTTCACAGAGGACAAGAAGAAAAGACAGAGAGGCAGAAAAAATGAAGGAGAAAAGACTGAATATGCTGGGGGATGCCCACAAGTACAAGACACAGAAGAAACAAAAGCTCTTAGAGAACACAGAGATGGTTAAGAAGATAGGACAGAAACAAAAAAGTCCAGTGCCTTTAAAATTTAAAAAGTTATGTTGTATAATACACTGTACTGTTACTAATAAGAGTGTTAATTATTTACAATCCTTGCAACAACCCTTCATATTACACATTAGCCACATATAACACATGTGGAAATTAGGCAAGAGAGGGTAACTTTTCCAAGGTTAGTAACATAGCTAGTAACTAACATAAGCCTACACTAGAACCCAGGCTTGTATAATTCAAAATAAATCTTTTTTTCACTAGCCCAATGAACTGATTTAGGAAGAAGAAGAAGAAGAAAATCACACGTGGACTACTTACAATGGGAAAACCAAGACAATAGGTGCAGCACAGGGTTAGAATAAATAAATAAGATAATGAACAAAGCAAAAAGTCAAAATGCCTTTTTTTTAAGATGGAGAAGATCTGTATTAAAGGCAGATGGGAAAGATTAAAAATAGAGGAAAACAACATATAGAGGTAGAGGGCAGAAGTACAAATTCGTTTAAGGAAGTAAGTACTTTCTCTAAGAAAGGGCATGAATTGGAAACAGCCACAGCTTATGAGAGGATCAGGGCACAGCGAATTATCTTAATGAATAGGAAGAAGCTGGCTGGACACGGTGTTGAAGACACGTGTGATAAATGTTCCAAAGTCAAATTTAAACGACCTAGTTTGGAAAACTCTGAGAATTTGTAGGAGGCCAAAATTACGGGTTTTTATTTCATTCTTAGTGATCTAAGGGACAAAATTCTGAGAGTTGCCTGGATCTAGGGCAGGGACAAGGGCTGACAATCAAAAAGACTGTCAGGTTACTGTTAACACATTGAAGTGGGCCATTGACAGGAAGCTCAATTCACTTGAGAGACAGTTTAGCATAGAAAGGAAATCTTCAAAGAAGGTGAAATGCACTCTGTGAGGTGCTGAAGATTTAAAAGAAGTAATAAAGTCACGTGACACTGACAAAGACTGATGAGAAGTAGAGGGGTAAGATGGTAAATTAATGGATGGTAAATTAAATTAATTCAAGTAAGACTGACAAGTAGAAAGGACTAATTCTTACTGAGAAGCTTTTTTTTTTAAGGGTAAGACTACAGAATCTTTTTACATGAGAGAAACTACAATGTAAAGCAAGAAACACAGAAAAAGGAGCAACAAACTCTTCAGGATAAGGAAAGAGAACTGTTCATAACAGAAAGTGGAAACAGAAGAGAGAACAATAGTTATCTGAGCAGGATCAGGCCATGTAGGAAGCTTAGGTAAGAGAGGAGTATCAGGAACAAAAGGGAAGAGAGTGAGAAAGACGGTTAGTGGCAGAAACAGAAGGTAAGAATTCTCAATCCAGACAATGCTGGAGTCAAGTTCAAAGACATATTATAGTGGAGGGGATTTGGAGCAGGGAACCCAGGGACACAGGATATAAAAATACAGCAAATATATTAAAATATATTTAAGCAAAAAAATGCTAATTTCCAAAGTGTTAATAAGCATCTCCATGCTATTTCTTGGCTAGGTTCCTCTACTAGTGATTTCCCCAGACTTTTATTCAGTGACAATTTGTTCTAGAGCAAAACAGAGCAGCAAGTCTAGACAAGACCTTGACTGAACAGTACCGCTGAATAGAGCTGAAATGCTGTTACAGAGAGATTAACTGAACTGCTGCTGCTGTGAGGCAGACGACGATCACTCTCCTTCAATGTCCCAAACCCATTTGTTCATTCGCTCCGACAAACCATTCCTTCAAAAAAAGACAATGCAAGAACAGCAGCAGAGTATTTTTTAAATGACATATTGATTTTTGAAAAATATACAAACTACCATCAGGGCAAAGATTATCCAAAGTACCTACATCAACCAGGAGATCTGGGTCTATGCTAAACTGTCTTCCTGACAGCATGGCTTGGAAGTCCTCTAAACTGCAATCGATACTGTCCAGATAATCCAACAGCTCAACCCTAAGGAACAAAAAATTTCAAAAAATCAAATATTAGGTTTCCTTGTTTTAAAAAATCACAATTACAATCTGGCTAGGCAAACGATTCCTAGCAACTGCTACATCCTTACCAGTTCTCAAACCTAAGAGCTCTTACTCAAGATACGGGATTCCCAAAAATTTCTTTAACTGAGAACCCATAATTTACAGAAAATTTTAGTATTTACAGAAAAAAGGGTTCCACAACAACATCCAATTTACCTTTCTCCTCTATACTGTTATACAAAAGGTTTAATCTCATTTCTGATAACTACTAATAATTACTAAGTCATCTTTATGCTGTAACATAAGTCCTTTATTAGTAATGATATTATTTCATACTTCGGATACAAATGCAAATACACATAATCACAAACACCTTATACTCAAAACAAGCACATCATTAAAGAAATCTGAGAAACTGAAAGGAAAATCCCAAGACTACTTCTTGGGACGATTACATCTCGTACATTAGCGAGCGCAGACCTACCCAAAACAGAGAAAGGTGGACCACATGAGCTCATCATCTGAGAGGAAGATCTAAGAGAAATAGAACACGTGAAGCGAACACAGAAAGCAAAGAACTTTAGACAACACCTAGATGAGCACTCACTTTCCCAAAAGGTTGATGTTATCATTCAAAATGGAATCCATCATGGTCACGGGATCTTCTGAGGTCAGACCAGACGAACCATTTAGTTGAACAGCACTGGACATTAGAGGACTGGTGCCCTCGCTGCCTGAACCCAGAGATTCCCTGGCTGGCTCACTCTGCTCCCCGCTCTGAACGACAGGTGCATACTCATCTTCGTTGTCGTCTTCGACAATGACAATGTCAGGGTACTGGCTACAGCGACATGGGTGATATGAGCAAAAAGAACCAATTACATTTTCAGACAGATTTAGTAAATGCATTCTCTCTACTCATTCTCCATGAAAACGCTCTCCCCATACCACATATTGAAAGGCTTAAATGTGGGTGAGTAGTATAATACTGCCAGACACTCCACAGAGTAGGAGACCACAAAGAAACAAGGTGTGGAATTCCAAAATTTCAGAAAATCAATTAATTCTCATTACTACTTTGTAGTAATGAGAGGGAGGCTTTATCTAATAATTTAGCTTAATTATTCAGTTTAGTAATTCAAATGCAAGATAAATATTAGTTTATCAAATAGCAAAGTAGTTTCTAAGTAAGCTCTAGAACAAGAAAAGTGACCAATATTTTCATACATTTTATCTCACAAACTCCTTACTTGGAGGGATCAGATATAACATCCTCATTAGTTTCAGGGATAACTGGAATATTTTCTTCATCTGCATTATCATCAGTAACGTCATAAATAATAATATCATCTGAAATCCGCTCCCTTGGCTTTAAACCCTCAGTCCTACTGTTTGGAACCTAAAAAAATCAGAGAGAAAAATATATCCAAAAACTGAAATCATACTGACTACTAAACAAGGTATCATTGAGAAAATAATTGGACACCTACTATTTACTAAAATTGGTCATACAACAGTAGGCAGAACAGGTACGTCCTTTGGTCTCATGGGACTCATATACTAATTGGTATTAGTAGCACCAATTCACAGAGGTATGACTGTATTATCGGCATTCTACTTAATATTTATTTTACTCTAAAGGATGCTAAAGATGACATGCCAAAGAATATTTCTATGGAGATATCTTCAAATTCTAAAGTATTTTTTATACCTAAAGAGTAAAAAAGTTTTAGGACTTCACCAGAAATTTCAAGCAAAACCAGATGGCCACTGTGTTGCTGACAGGGAGATAATTTCAGTTCAAGCTACCCCTATTTTGACATATGGTTTATTCTTACTCATTAAATAGCTTAGCTAAGGGGGAAAAAAGCACTTTAACTATTTCAGCTAAATGTCAGCTTGGCTTTTTAGCAATAATTTTTTAAAATTAAGCTAGAGATATACTCAGGCCATAGTTACATTAATAAAATAAGTTCAATTCTCTATAGCAAACTAAAGTCATTATTATAATGTAAAAATAAATTTTATCACTAGATCATACAGAGGAAAAGATGTGAAGTGCTTCAAAATATGTAAAATCAGTTAAATTAAAAAATCTTCATCCACTTACACAGGGCTTCAATCCTAAAATCAAAATAGTTAGGTATGATTGATTATTTAGAAACAAAGGTGGGAAGAGAAATCAGATGTGAGGTCAACTCTGATTTTACCAAGAACAAAAATCCTGATACTTTAAATCTGAAACAGTATTTAGAATTTTTAAATTGAAAGCAATGACACTAATAAAAATGGTCTGTATTCTAGGCTGGACTAATTTGCCACCGGATATAAATCTGACGATTTATCCAGACAGCCTGTGAAAAAAATAAAGAAAAACAAAAATATTTTTAAATTGCTAGAGTAAAAAGCAGTCTAGATAGTGCACACGTATAATAAAAGTTGGAAATAAAATAACCAACGGAAGAATGTATAACCATATATATTACCATAATATTCCAGTAATATATAGCACTGAAATTAATAAACTAAATCTCTATGGTTAAGAAATATTAAAAACAACATCAAGTAAAAAGAAAAAGCCATACTGTAAAATGATATGTACAAAATAACACCATTTACGTGAAATTTAGGATATATGCAAAAATAATACTAAATATTGTTCCTGAATTCACACATACAGAATGGCCATGGGGAAAGAAAGAAACTTGGAAAGAGGTTAACTGAGACAACTATATTTGTAATGTTTTATGTCTCAAAATAATCAAAAGTAAATAATACAAGATATCACGATCTAATAAAGCTGAGGAATGAGCACTTAGATTATTCACAAAATTTCCCTGAATGTATGAAACGCTGCTACAATAAAATTTAGTTTGAGACAATACACACAGAATATACTTTTAACTAAAAAATTACTTTATGATGGTGATTATCAGTTGGCTCTTTGACTATGTGCTGAAACAGATTCTTCTTCTGGGCTCCATTAGTGTTTAGAAGTAGAGGCCTGAAAACCAGAACATTCATGCAGATGAGCGAAGCAAACATAAAAAGAATCTGAATGACTTCTACTAACTTACCCAAATACACACACACACACACACTTTAATCGTGAATAAAAAATTTCACTAAAAATAAACAAACTCTTAAATACAACCAAATCTCAGAAACAGAAACTGGGGGACGAGAGTGCCGAGGACTTCTAGTTCTCCAATCTCCTACACCAGGGATGCCCAACCTTTGGCTCTGAGTAAAGAGGAACTGTCTTGGGCTGCACATAAGTTATACCATATAGTCAGTGTATATACATAATAAGACTTCCCAAGTCCTGCCAGAAATGTGTGTTTTCACATGATGTTAAAATACTTTGGGGGGCGGCATTACTAGCTGTCCTGGGCCACATGTGGCCCATGGGCCGCAGGTTAGACATACCTGTTCCATACTATTTTTGTTATAATAAATACAATAAACTATTCTCTCCAGTTACACTTCACTACTGAATTATATAACTCTTTATGAACTGTGTTTATAAAGTAAAAAAAAAAAAGGTAATCAACTAATTAGTGAAAGTGGTTTAATGCCACGAAGCTGTATCATAATCAAACTTTCCCAAAATCTTAGTGTTACAGATTCTCTTTTCCTCCTTCCCACTGTTCCTTTTGTGCATTCTTCTTATGTTTTATCTGTAACAATGGCAGCTACTGACATTGCTAGGTATCACAGCCCATGGCTCAGATACAGGTTTAAAAAGACTTTCTGCTATGAGTAAACATAAGAGGATCAAATGAAATCAATTTTCATTTTTTTCCAACATAAGACATCTTTTCTAGAATCTCCCTCACTCAGGCCTTCAATGCTGTTTTAAATTGCTAATATTAATGAAAAGTGAATTCTTTATTAACTTGATGTACGTCTGTAAAGTGACCATTCGGGCTATTCTTATCTCTCTCAAATATCAGCAGAATGAAGTAGTAGAAAATAACACCACTCTTGAGATGTTAAGAGTATAATTTAACAAAGGAGGACTGTTCTTTTGGGACAACAGGCATACATTCAGCAAATGTAGGTCACTCATGGTTAAACACTATAAGTTTGACTGTCTGTGTACAGGTCAAAATGTTTTTTCATAAAAACTTACCGTTTTCGTTTTAAACTTACAAGTTGATTATTTTGAACCAATGTAACAATAAACTGGACAATCTGAAAGGAAAATAAAAATTCTTTCATTATACATTTTTAACTCTTTTGTTCATATTACTTATAAAACCAATTCACATGATGTATGTTCTCATAATTTTTCACATATTAACATTTGAAAATTGGATGCTTACAGCTGACATCTAAAGAAATATGACAGCTTCCAGGCAGTTATGTGTTTTGGTAATAAGGACCAAACATCCTTGGATGTAGATATCAACATTTAACTTAAATACTTTAAAGATTACATTATGATACACAAGAGAAAACTGGTGTGTTAGCAAGTGAAATTTTTCTTACACCAGATAATATAATTAAAGGCAAAAGAAACTGCCAATTCTCTCAGAACAGATCATAGATTTTCAAGTTAGAAAAACTTTACTGGCTGATTCTAAAATGATTAAAGCTGGGGCATATCTAGCTTATAAGCTTTGTGAAATCTAATTACATGATTCATATAGAGTATTATCAATTAAAAAGACCTATTGTGTAGCTTTAACACTGAGCATCCCTGCCCTGCAAAGGTTTCTAAATGGTGTTCCTTAAAACCACTATCAACTTTTCAATGGAACAGAATATAGACATTTAAACTAAAGAGTCAGACAGTATTAGAAAAAAAAGGTTAGCCACTAAACTACTTATTCAAGAGAAAATGCTGATAGCTAATAAAAAGATAACATTTTGGCTTAAAGATATCTATGAAGCCGGGCTTGGTGGCTCAGCCTGTAATCCCGCGCCTTTGGGAGGCTGAGGTGAGTGGATTGCCTGAGCCCGCGGGTTCGAGACCCACCTGGGCAGCGAGACCTCATCTCTACAATAAATCAAAAATAAATCAGCCGGGTGTGGTAGCGCATGCCTGTAATTCTGGCCACTTGGAAGGCTGAAGCGGAAGGATCGCCGAGCCCAGCAGGTTGAGGCTGCGGTGGCCGGGAGCGGCCACTGCACTCCAGTCTGGGTGACAGAGTGAGACTCTAACTCAAAAAAAAAAAAAAAAGATATGTATGAGACAATTCAACTTCAAATTTTAAATTTAGAAATGTTATGGGAAAATTCCAAAAACATTAGTGGTTGAACTTATAAGAACATGAATACTGTTAAATTTCTTGTGAAATTTTTTCTACATCTCAGTTTTCTTGATGCTTCTGCAACATACTGTATGGGGTTTTTCTCTGAAGGAGAAGATGAGGCATCTAACATTTACAGCATCTAACTTCTGTACCTGTCCAGTTCTAGAACTGGTACCTCACACACATTATTCTTAATCTTTGGCCAAAGAGTAAATGGCAGAGTTAGAAACCAGTTTCAGGAGCAGAACAAAAATTGCTGGTTGTCATAATGCATTATCAAAACACACAAATTCAAACTCAAATTTCAGCCAACAGAATATAAACCTTCATGAAACCTCAAATGTAATATGTTACCAACTATCTTTGCTTTTAGGGAAAAAACAATCTACAGATTATGGAATGCTGTAAGCTGATATTTAACCAAAACATTGTTTCTGAAAAATTTTAATGGATTTTTTTTCCCCCATAAAGTACAGGTTAAGGTAAATCTATTGTTTTAAATCAAGGCAGAGCATTAGGCTTGCCTACAGAAGTTTACAAATATATGTACTTGCACTAAACAATTAGAAGTGAATTCGTCTACATCCAACTTTCATTTGCATACTAATTCTTAAAAAAAAAAAAAAAAAGTAAGCTGGGCTCGGTGGCTCAGCCTGTAATCCCGCGCCTCTGGGAGGCTGAGGTGAGTGGACTGCCCGAGCCTACGGGTTCGAGACCCGCCTGGGGAGCGAGACCTCATGTCTACAATAAATCAAAAAATCAGCCGGGCATGGTAGTGCATGCCTGTAATTCCGGCTACTTGGAAGGCTGAGGCGGAAGGAGAGGCGGAAGGATCGCCGGAGCCCAGCAGGTCAAGGCGGCGGTGGCCGGGAGCGGCCACTGCACTCCAGTCTGGACGACAGAGTGAGACTCCAACTCAAAAAAAAAAAGTATATTTACTTTGTCTCTAGGCCAAAGGCTGCAACTGCTCTTCAACTCGGCTTTAAGCCTGTTCCACTAGACCCAGATCCTCTCAATCATAACCCTATTTTTAGTTCAAGGGCCTTCCAAGCAAGAACATGCTGAAGCTACCCCACAAAAAAACCTGGGACTTAAGCTCAGAGTCTAATTTACTCATGAGCAAAAAATAGCTACCTTAATTACTTTTACGTTTTACCTATTATTAACAAATGAAAGCTGATATGCAAAGTTTAAACCACAAGGACACAATGAAACAGATTCCAATTTCATCATTAAATTTTCAGCTCAGATACTAAAAGCTTAACTTCATTTTACAACACTATGCTAACTTATTTGCTGCACAGACTAATAATGGGATACATCGATACATCATTTTTTGAACTCATAATTTGGTCAGCTGATTTGAAAATATTTGTTATTTATCTTCTAACATCTTAACTATGCCATTAATAGTAAAAAACCAACCAACCAACAAAACACAGTAAGGCTATGTTTTATCATTTAAAAACATTTAAGCTACAAAGACATTATGTGGGAGTACGGAATGACCATCTTTACCTAATGAGAAATGCTTATTAAAAAGAATACTTAACACTTGGTTTAATTTGTTTGACTTATTTCATTTCTGTGTACTCAATATATAAGGAACTAAGATCAACCACCGACTACCCAGTAGAGATTTTTCTGGAACACTAACAGTACTTATAAATAAATGCAGATTACGGTCATGAGGAAAAGAGCTGCTTACCTTTCGAATAACTTGTTGCTGTTGTGCATGCTTTGCTCGTAATTCTGATACCTCCTTCCAAAGAGACTCATTCTCACTATGATTTATTAGACAACAAAACAAAAATCCAGTCAGAAAACCATGCTTCGATATCTGTAAGAATACTAGAGAATTATCTATACTTGTTTTTACTGTATGTTTGCACGAGACCAGAAAAACTTTGGTTAAGTTACAGAGGAATGACAATTACCTTGACAGAACTCTAAAGTCATTCCTTCTTTACTATAATATCCATTCATGGTAATACATACACACAAAATTTAAGACAAATGCCTACTTCCATATAGTAGTTAGCAATTTAGTCCTTGTGACAGTTCATTACATTTTGTTCAAAAAATAAGCTAATTTTTCAACTATGGGTACCAAGTGAATTCAGGCCTTGTGAATTACCTTAGGAAAATAAAGGGAAGTGATATTTACTCAGCACTTACTATAGTTCCAGGTACTATGCTAAGTATTTTGTGTGTATCACTTATTTAAAACTTCTCTAACACCCACCAAGAAAAAAGTCACTACTCTATTTTATAGATAAGGACATTGAGGTGTAGAGAATTAAGGGAACTTGCTTGAACTCATACAGGTAATTTGGCAAGTCTGAAGTTAAACTAAAGTCTCCCAGACTCTAAAACTATCTTAAGATCTGCCTCAAACAAAAGCATATGCAAACCACTAAAATATGTTTTACTTCTTTAAAAGCATATTCAATAATATGACAAACCAACAACTTGCCAGTAACAGTTTATTATCCTTCATTCACATTTTTTAATTGAAATGGCACTGTTATTAAGGCATGTCAGATAATTCACCTATTACATGCTTTTCAATCTTTTGTTAATGTCTACAAAAGCCATCTTCATTCATGCAAACTATCATAAAAAGGGCTGCAGATTTACATAAAGACGTATTAAAAAGCTTTTAATATTCACTGAACTAACTAAAGTATTTTTTTCTGACCCAAATTTAAAGATGGAGTCATCGGTTTGCTAAGGGAGGTAAAAGGTGACGTGGGGATCCCTTTCCTTAAAGGTGAATCCTGAGGTCCAAGGAACGAGGTCAAAGGGCTGACAGTGATCTTAAGACAGACACAGTAAACAGCACAAGTGGCCAAATAGCATAAGCAAAATGGGAACATTTAAGGCTTCCTCAAAAAAAGGAATCAAGGTCCAGGAAGATACCTAAGAAATAATTAAACCAATGTCCCACATTTTAAATGTGAATACACAAAAATACCCTCAAGCTCTTGGTACCTATTAAAATAAGGGAAAATTCTAGCTCCTTATTAAGAGTAATACACATCTACTCTATATACAAGTTATTACTGGGCTAAGTTATAGGGCAATGGTACTAAGAAATGCAGTAAAACAAAAAAAAGCATCTTTCTGCAGACGAATGGCTTGAACACATTTCCAAATCTGTGTGAAATAAGTATCAAGTGGGACAACTCTCCTGTGTCGTCTTTTTTCCTATTTTTTATGTCCTACTTTTTCCAAAGAGGAAGGCCACAAAGAGACATCTTAAGAAATGGCCATTAAAGAAAGGATGAGTAACATTAAGGGTTTTTATGTCACTCGCCCTCATGTGTCCGTGAATGCCACATCAAAGCTAACCCAAGTAGACTCATATTTCCTACAACTTAAAGATCTACTGTTTAATCAGTCATACTTAACACAATCAAATTATTTTAATGTACTCAGGTTTATATATTTTTCTGACCACCATAATTAAAACATGATGTTAGGGTGAAGTCTGTGGCCAAAAAACAAAAGTAAAGGAAATCGATACTTGCAGAAAAACGACCTTTTATCTTGGCTTCAACAAAGCAATCTAAATAAAACATCAGACAACCTACAAACTCCAACACACACATTACATACATCCAACCCTCATATTAAAATATTTGGAAATAATACTTTACCTTTTTAATTCAGAAAGCCTGGACTCAATCGTTTCCTGTTTTATCTGAACCTTTTGAGCACTACTTATAATTTTTGTCAAATCTTCCTGACGAATTTTATTTTCTTCTGGTTTGGAAGATGAAACCTTTCAAAAGGCAAATTTAGAAAATCAAATACTGAACACCTATGATGGTCACGTGAAGTGTCCCTGAGAGATTTTTGTGACTTGTTCAGGAAGTAAAATCTGGTTCCAAAAAGCCCGGAATGAAATTCCAGGGGAAGAACAACCTTCACAGGTCAATGGGAGAGGAAGCAAGGGGTAGTCAGCTAGCATGACTTTCTGATTATGGAGAAGTTTCCATGAGCAGCAACATCTTAGGATCCTTTTTCCCCCTCCGCACAACACGCTGTAATTTCCCCATGATTGCCACATTCCACATGTAATTAAATTTATGCAGTCACAGCTCCATGCTAGGCCCCCTTCTCTCATGGGCCACCCTCTTTATGGATTTAGTAAAAAATCTTATTATAGCAAAACATACCGTGCATTAAAAAACGTGTTACTGAATGCCTACTATGTGGTCATATTTAAATTACTAGAAGAAGCTTATGGTGACACTGGATATCCAACAGTGAACTACAGACAAAGCCCTCCAGGGAGCTGATATTCTAACAGGTGCTGACTTTCTTTTAGCTAACTTACAAAAACTGAGCCATCCCATTACAACAAATGATGCTTCACCCTCAGAATGTAAACATTTTCCCTTTCTCTAGCAAGGGTTTGAAGACTGGGCCCCAGTACAGTTGAGCAGGGGGGGAAACAGAGGAAAATAATTAAAGCTAATTATTTATCTAATTCATCCCAACAAAGAACACCTGTGTGTTTCTGTACATTCTTAATTACCACAACTGAAATAAAAATCTTGACCAAGCATATTCCATGTTAACATCCTAATTAACTCATGCTAATAGTAGCTCACCTTCCTTTTAATGTTCTCCAACAAATCATCCTGGCCTTGTTTGAAGTAAGGATGCTGAAATTCCACAGGACCATCTCTTTCCTGCTTTACAATTCCAGAGTCAATATGTACTACTTTACGGAAACCATCTAAACAGATTCAAAATTCAAATTACTAAAATAGACAAGACTCGAAAATTAGTAGTGATTTTATGAAACATGTTCTCCTTTACCATCAAAGTGAGAAAAAAATGGTTTAATCCAGCACTACAAATAAGCTGTTGTCCATACTCACACATATTCAGTTGCCTCACAAAGCTAGCCATGTTATTGTGCTTGAAGTATTTGGGAAGAATTTCTTTTGCAAATCTTTGCTCATCCAAGACCAGAAAACTTTGGCCATTCTGGAAAAAAAAAAAGGCCAGTCAGTTAAGGTTTTCTGACACATGATGCTGATATACTCAAAAACCATCCTGATTAGTCCTCTCAGACACCTTCAGACCAACAATCTATCCCTGATAACTGAAGGAAACAAACCGCAATTAAGTACCAAAATGCAGTTAAGCTTTCTTATGTCAACCTCAAAAGTTTAGGACTATGTCTCAAATCAAAACCGACATCATATTCTACAGTGAAATACTAGAATTCCCATTAAAGCAGAAACAAAAAAAAGAAATGCAGTATGTAGCCAGCATAATTATTTAGCACTGTTTTAAAACGAATGCAATTAGACAAAAAACAAAAGGATTCTGAGAGGAAGCAGGACTTATAATTATTTGAAGTAGATATAATTGTAAATTTGTACACTCAAGTAATCCTTTGCACTTGGAGACATCTCATGCATCACCCACCTGTAAGTGACTGCACTTTTATACAAAATAATGAAAAACGAATCACTTCATTTCAAACAAACTATTATTTTATTGTAATGATATTGGGCTCATAATGGAATTTTGGACATTAAGGAAATAACATATGACAAAAAAACAAAATTTTATATTTTTCCTTACATGTGGTAACGTGGGAAACAGTCACCAACATGCACTGCAGGTTCACTGACACACGTTGTATAATAGTAATCTGTTTGATGTCTTCCACCTGGTGTTTTTCCATTCAGGCAGACAATGCAGTCTCATTTTCTTCCTCCCACATTACTAGTATATAATTTATTGTCCAGTCTGTGTACCACTGTGAAAGCACTTCATACAGTCTCTTTCTACATGACACCAGCTGATTTTTTTAAACATATATTTCAGTATACAATCCCTCTCTTTATTTGCTTTTTTGTGCAATTCGAAGGAAAAACTTCAAGGAAATGAATTTTTTAAAATTCTGCACTGGCATAAGTGTGTCCTGTAATATTGTTTTTTTTTTTTGAGTTGGAGTCTCAGTCTGTCGCCCAGGCTAGACTACAGTGGCACACTCATGGCCACCACAGCCTCGACCTGCTGTGCTCAGGTGATCCTTCTGCCTCAGCCTTCCAAGTAACTGAAATTACAGAAATGCGCCACTACGTCCAGCTAATTTTTTGATATATTGTAGAGATGAGGTCTCGTCAAGTTGCCCAGGCTGCTCTTGAACCCATGGGCTCAGGCAATCCTCTCACCTGGGCCTCCCAAAATGCTCAGATTATAGGCGTCAGACATCATGCCCAGCCCATCCTGTAATATCTTTATGTCTCCCTGAGAGAAGACATCCAAGTGGTTTGCTAGATTTAGGATGTTCACTCAGAAGGGACATCCTAGTACAAAGGGTTAAAAGACTGTAAGAATTCAGCAAGAGATCTAGTTACTAAAATAATATTAAAAGTCACAACTGTTTTCCTCTACAAAACGAACAACCAAAAATACAGTAATCAACAATATGGCAGTGAACCTTTTTGGTGTCAGGGACCAGTTTCACAGAAGACAACTTTTCCACAGATGTGTGTGTGTGATGGTTTCAGGATGATTCAAGTGCATAACATTTACTGTGCAGGTTATTTTCATTATTATACTGTAATATATAATAATAATATAATTTACCATAAAATAAAAAGGCGTGGACAGAAGTGGTACATAAAATAATGGGTGGACCCTCCAAAACAAGAGCCAGATTCTGACTTAAAGCCTGCCACCAGATGTAGCTGCATAACTGAAGTCCGTCCACTCACTTGCCACTTACGGACAAGGTTTTGATGAGTCTGCAAGCGATTTATTATGGTCTCTGCACAGACAAACCTCATTGCTAATGTTAATCTGTATTTACAGCCACTCACCCCCAGCACTACCATCACCACCTCAGATCATCAGGCGTTAGATTCCCATGAGGAATGTAACCTAGATTCCTCACATGCACTGTTCACAATAGAGTTCTCGCTTGTATGAGAATCTAATGCCGCAGCTGGTCTGACAGGAGGCGGAGTTCAGGCGGTCATGCAAGTAGTGGGGAGCTGTTGTAAACACAGATGAATCTTTGGGCTAGTCCACTGCTCATCTCCTGCTATGCAGACCAGTTCCTAACAGGCCACAGACCACTGCCAGTCCGTGGCCTAGGGGCTGGGGACCAGAGCCCAGAAATAAACTCTGCCAGAAGGATTTTGACAAGAGTGTCAAGACCACTCAATGCTAAAAGGGAAGTCTTTTCAACAAATGGTGCTGGATAGCTGCATGTAAAATAATGAAGTTAGACCCTTCCCTGACACCAAATACATCAGAGGAAAAGCTTCAATGTTAGATTTCCCAATAATTTCTCAGCTACACCACCAAAAGCAGAGTTCCCCAAAGCAAAAATAAGTAAGTGGGACTACGTCAAATTAAAAAACTTTGGCTGTGCAAGGAACACTATCAAAGGCAAAAAGGCAGCTCTCAGAATGAGAAAAAAATGCAAATCATTTATCTGATAAGGGGCTCCTACCCAAAATGCATATAGAACTCCCAGAATTCATAATCATCACAACAAAAATCTGATTAAAAAATAAGCAAAGAACCTGAGTACACGTTTTTCCAAAGAAGACATACAAATGGCCAATAAGCACTTGAGAAGACAGTCAGTATCACACTAGAAAAATGAAAATCAAAACTACAATGTGGTATCACTTCTTACCCACTAGGATGGCTATCGTAAATAAAGTAAGTGTTGACAAGGATGCGGAAAAATGAAAACCTCTGTTTATTACTGTTGGGATTGTAAAACTGTGCAGATGCTGTGGAAAATATGGTGGTTCCTCAAAAAATTAAACACAGAATTACCATACAATCCAGCCATTTCAGTCCTAGATATATACTCAAAAAAACTGAAAGCAGGGACTTCAATACGTATTTGTGCCCATGTTGTTCATAGGAGTATTATTCACAGTAGACAAAAGGGGGAAAAAACTTGTGTCTATCACCACAGGATAATATATTTATATGAATTCATATATACGTATATGAATGAATGTATATATATTCATATATATGAATGAATTTTTTAAATGTGATACATACATACAGTGAAACATTATTTCACCTTGAAAAAGAAATTCTGACAAGCTACAATACAGATGAATCTTGAAGACATTATGCTAAGTGAAATAAGCCAGTCACAAAAGGACAAATACCACTGTCCTATATATAATTCCATTTATGTAAGGTATCACATTTGTATGCTACCACAGCCAAATATTAAGTACTTAAGTTCATTTGTAAAAATAAGTATGTAACAACAGGCAAGAAAATACTGAAAACAACAGGGAGTAGTACATTAACTTTGCCTAATACAGATGATAGTGTTTACAACAGTTTGGTGCTAAAGAAAGAATAACTGAACAGACGAATGAATGAACTAGAAAGGACAGAAGCAGAAAATCTACATGAGAATTTATTAGGTAGTAAGTCAAAATGTGCAATCGGGATGAAAAAGTATTTTTAAAGAAATTTTCCCTTTGGGAAGGAAAAACAAAAGCTCAACGCTACCCCACTCTTTACAACCAAGCTTTTGGAAACACGACATGCTGAACCCAGAAGACATACAGATAAAATTTATTAAATTATATCTACGAAAACTGCTAGCTTCCTACCCTATTTTCACTCTAATTTCTTACTAACAGAAACATAATTGTTTGATGAAAAACCAATGTGAAATTTAGAAGAGGCCCGGTCTCATTCATAATTGAAAATACATATAGCAAAATAATGATTTTTTCCCCCTTATTAGATAGACAAAACTTAAAGCATTTGATAATTACCACTATTGGCAACTAGGTAATTATCAAAACTTCAAATGCATATACCTTTTCCTATCCTAAAATAACTTTTCCTCTTAAACCTTATTTCCCTCTTAATCTACCCATTTTCTTTTCCTTAATAGTAAAACTTTGACAAGCAGATATTTTAAATCCCCCTTCTACACTTCAGGACCATCCATTTACTCATGCTCAAAACTTGTTTGGGTTTCCCTCACTGAAACTGGTTTTCCAAAATGTCAAGTGCAAATCCAACGGCCCTCCTTTCAGTCTTGATCTTCCCGCACCACCTCTCATGGGACTACTAACACTACCCTCAGAGAGTCCACTCTCTGGGCTTTGGCTAGATGCCGTTTAGTCCCTTCTCTCTCATGCTTCCCTTCACCTATGATAGAAGGCAGTACGTGTGTTTTTTAAGTTTCTATTTTTGACCATGGTACCACTGATATTCTTTCCTTAGACAGCTCATCCACACTAGTGTATCTTACTAATGGCTTTATTTTATGTGATTATCACCACATCTATACCTCTGCCTTGACCATCTAAAATTCCATATTTAAATTCATAATTGCTGGCCGGGCTCGGTGGCTCAGCCTGTAATCCCAGCACTTTGGGAGGCCGAGGTGAGTGGAATGCCTGAGCCCGCGGGTTCGACACCCGCCCGGGCAACTTGGCGAGACCTCATCTCTACAATAAATCAAAAATTAGCCGGGCGTGGTGGCGCGCGCCTGTAGTTCTAGCTACTTGGAAGGCTGAGGAGGAAGGATCACCGGAGCCCAGCAGGTCGAGGCTGCAGTGCGGCCACTGCACTCCCGTCTGAGTGACAGCGTGAGACTCCAACTCAAAAAAATAAATAAATAAATAAATTCATAATTGCTAACATATTTACTCAACACTCTTTAAGTATGTTCTCAACACATCTGTCTGTTTCAAACTCATTTTCTACTTCCGCAATCAACCTTTTCTTGTGTCTTTCATTCTGGCCAGCATCTTCCCCACTAAATTACCCAACTCAGATGACAACAAAAAAGCTCAAAACTCAATTCTAGGCTAGGCATGGTAGCTTACGCCTGTAATCCTAGCACTTTAGAAGGAAGAGGATTGCTTGGATCTAGAACATCGCAAGAAATCATCTCTACAAAGAAATTTTTTCAAAACATTTGCCAGGAATGATGGTGCATACCTGTAATCCCAGCTACTTGGGAGGCTAAGGCAGGACTGCCTGAACCCAGGAGGTCAAGACTACGGTGAGCCATGATTGTACCACTCACCGCACTCCAGCCTGGGTGACAGAGTGAAATTTTGATTCAAAACAAAACGAGTCTCAATTCTAACACCTCGCAACTTAAGGGAGCAATCTTAAAAAACATCCCCTTTAAAATTAAGAACAAGGCAAGAATTCCAGGCTCACTGCCTCTATTCGGTCTCAATCATTGCAAAAGATAAAAAATCGAAGGCGTAAGGTTCTGAAGGGAATAACAAAACTATCATTCGCAGATACTATGAGTATATACTCAGAAAACCCAAATCAGTAAAACTATCAGTAACATTACTTGCTTACTGATTTATCATCAATATAAAAAAGTTATTTGTATTTCTAGTCACCAGCAACAGGTAGAAATGTATCTTTAAATGAAAGATCAATTAATATCCATATTAATACCTATAAGATACCTAGGAAGAAATCTAACCAAGACGTGTAAGACCTAATAGCAAAAATTTATAAAACATTCTTAAAAGTAACTTAGAAATATACCTTGTTCATGTGAATACCCAATATATCTATTTTTCCTAATGTGATATATCGTTTTTGTGCAATTTCAACAGAAACCTAGCAGGGTTTTTTTCTTTAATGGAACTTGATTTTAAAGCATACACAGATGAGCAAAGACCAAAGTACTCCTGAAGAAATACTCTACCAAAAGACTTTCTCTAAAGCTATAGTAGTTAAGACAGTGAAATACAGGCACAGGATAAATTGTCCAGTGGAACAGAAGAGAGAAAATAGACACTAAACCACAGGACCTGTTATGAAATAAATGTTGGTGTTCCCCCAAAATTCCTATCTTGAAGCCCTCATCCCAATACGTGGTGTTTCTCTAGAGACTTTGGAAGATGATTAGGGTTAGGTGAGGTCATGGAGGTGGGGCCACCATGATGGGTTTGTGCCCTGGTAAGAGAGACCAGAACTCTCTCTCTCTTCCATTCAAGGATACAAGGGGAAGGCAGCTGTCCGCAAACCAGGCAGAGCCCTAACCAAGGAAATGAAAGGACCGGCACCTCACCCTCGGAAGTCCTTAAACCACTCCTGTTGTTTAAGGCACCTGACCTATGGCATTTTGTTATGGCAACTCACCGAAGATATATGTATCTGTGACATAAGACAGAAGTGGCAATACAGATCACTGGGAATGGAGGGACCATTTAGCTAGACAACTAAATATGATACAGAAATTAGCAAAACTGGATACCTCAAACCATACACAAAGATCAATTCCATGTGGATTAAGACTTAGGTATGAAATGCAAACCTTTAAAACTTTCAGAAGATGGTAAAGTATTTTTCTCTCCTTAAGGTAGGAAGGTGAAAACATTCTGAAGAAACAAAAAGCATGAACCACAAGAAAGACTGATATATTTAATTATACTAAAATTAAGAATGTCTACTCATCAAAAGAAGGTAAGAATCTAGATAAACCACAAACTGACAACACATATACTCAAACAATGATTATATAGTATAAGGAATTCCTACAAATAATAAGAAACCAATAGAAAAATTGGCAAAATAAACATATACAGAATAGGAAACACAGATGGCCAACAAACATGAAAAAGTTTCAGAACTCATTAACAATTAGAAAAACGTAAGTTAAAACCTCACTGAGATAACACTTTAAATCCATTGGATTAGTAAAGATTAAAAAGAATGAAGAGTTTTGAAGTGCATTATTGGACACTCATATGTGGCTAACAAGGAAATAAGACGGCTTAATCTCCTTGGAAAACAATTTGCAGTATTTTGAGGTTAAACATTTCATACCCTATAGTCCAGCAATTCATGTGGGTGTTGATCTTAGAGAAACTCTTGCTTGTATGCACCGGGAGAGGTGTAGAAGAACACTCACAGCAGTGTGTGACACAGTCGATCTCTTTCTTGGCCCGTTTTCTTTCATTAACTCCTACGACCTCATTCCCTTGACTTTCCCCCTTTCTCACGGTTCTTCCTCAGTCTCCCCTGCTGGCTTTTCTTTGTCTTCCTCTCCTTGAGATGTTGGAATGCCCCCATCTGTCCGTTCTACCACGGTCTTCCCAGATGCTTTCGTTCGGTCTCATGGCTTTGCCAGTCACAAGCTCCAAACTGCACCCTGAAGGCCGATGTCGTGTAGTCACCAGCCGATTTAACATGTCCACTTGGACATCTCAGAGTGTGGAATTCGGTCAAGCTGTTCAGAAGCATTCCTGTTCTTCCAAGCACTGTATTTCCTCACCCCTTTTGAAATTATGTGTGGCCACAACTAGGAATGGTCAAATGCAAGAAAAATAAAACAATTCTCAATAGTCCCAGGGACCCACTTTTGGTTTCAGAGTCAATACAGTCCAGCAGAATCCCCAAGCTGCATCTCCCATGGCGTCCCCAACTCAGCAAATGGGTCCATCCTGTTGCTCAAGTCAAACCTGCGGCTTGTCACTCTGCTGTCTCCCCTCCAACTGCAGCGAACGTACCAGCAAGTCCCTGAGGCCGCAGGCCATCGGCCCCTGCCCACCTGCCTATCGTCACTCTCCTGGTCTCTAAAGAAGACACAGTAGCTATGTGCTCCTTCTTGCTTTCTTGAGCACGCCATATTCGAGAGCACTCCCCTTTGGCTAGCCCATCTTTGCCCGTCATGCAGGTCTCTGTTCAAACATCACTTCCTCAGAGAACCTTATTCATCATCATCCAAAGTATCCACGAGTCTCAGTTCATTTACATCCCAGTTAACAAATTATTGCTCTAAATTCATTCTTCACTGTCTGCTCTGCAAACATGGAGCTAGGTCCTGTAAATACCTTGCTTTTTCTGGCTACCACGATGTTAAGCTGTGTCCATGGGGGGAGACGAGAGAAGGGGAAGGGTTCTCCTTCCTGGTTCGTGTGTCCTTGACAGGCTCCTGCAGTGCAGGCAGGTCTTCCAGCACCTAGCTCTTGTCATGAATGTGGTCAGCAGCACTCAAAGGCCAGTAACTTTCCCTAGCACACCCTTTCCCTGGAGAGGTTTCCAAGCAGAGTTCTCTAGCAATACATCTCCACATCAACAGCTTTCTAGGGTGCTCTCTTTGTTCTGTTTCGTTTTTAGAGACAGGTTCTCATTCTGTTGCCCAGGCTGGAGTGCAGTGGCGTGATCACAGTCCAGGGCAGTCTTGAACTCCTGGACTCATGTGATCCCCACCCCCCCACCTCAGCCTCCCCAGTAGCTGGAAATTGAGAGGCACACCAAGCTAATTTTTTAAATCTTTTTTTGTAGATACGGGGTCTCACTGTGTTGCTTAGGTCTCAACTCTTGGCCTCAAGCAATCCTCCTGCCTTGGCCTCCCAAAGTGCTGGAATTACAGGTGTAAGCTATACCAACCAGACTCTAGGGTACTCTAGAATATGGGTTGACAAACTTTTCTTTAACAGGAAAACAGTAAATATTTTAAGTTTAGCTTACAATGTCATAATTCTACCTTTGTAACGAGAAAGCAGCTATGGACAACATGTAAATAAATGGTTGGGTACAGCTGTGTTCTAATTAAACTTGATTGAACAGATGACTGGCACATGGGCTGTAGTTTGCCAGCCCTGACCCAGAAGGCAAATTTCCCAGCAAGTTTTGAAGGATACATTTCCAGTAATCTCCACCAGTGCTGCACCACTGACCTCCCTACCATTCAGTGAGTCATTACCGCACTCTTTTCAACAAGGTCAGGATCCTAATCTCGGGGGAAAGGGTTCTTAACTTGGGCACTCATCTCAGCCCTATCAGTACTCACTGCTGATAACTATTCCTATAGCGTTTCCTTTACTCCAATTTCCCTGATATGGTTGATAAATCTATTCAAGTTTCCCTGTTGAAAGTACCTGTGGCTTCCGTCTTCTGACTGGACCCTAACCCATGATTGGCTTACTTTGCTTAATTTTTTTAATGGTACTTATCACTAACTAATATAATATTATTTATGTTTGCTTACTTTTTAATCTTTTTTCTTTTTTAAAGAGACGAGGTCTTGCTGTGTCGCCTAGGCTTGCTTCAAGCTCCTGGGTTCAACTGATCCCCAACTTCAGCCTCCTGAGTAGCTGAGACCACATGCATGTGCTACAACACCTGCCTTGGTTTGCTAACTTTTCATTTATCAGTATCGACCACTCAAATGTAAGCTACCTGAAGGCAGGCACTTTGGTTACTACTGAATGAACTCCTGGTGCCTAGTACACTATTAAATCATAACAGAGCCACAATAAATATCTGTGACTAACTGATGAAATAAATCTTTGGCCAAAGTGACTGAACTACAATTCTAGAATCTCAACCCTTTGACTACATAAAATGGAGAGATGAAAATCTCTTGTTTATACCTGCGCTCTTTCTCCCTCACATATACCCTTCATTCACTCAGATCATTGTGTCTCTTCTTTCAGTCTCCATGCTAACATTGTTAACTAAACTTCGGGAGTGCACAATTCCACCTTGTTGCCTTTTAAACCTGTGTTTTGCTCAAGAAACAAAACACAGAACTCTCTCTCTTTCTGAATATTCGACGAGACACAAAGCTACTACTAAATGAGGTGGGAAAGAATGGTACCTTCTCCTTGAACCCTGCCCACAAATACTGGCAAGATTCCAAAAGAGTAGAAACAGTTGTTCTGCCCAAGTTAACTTTTTGGTACTCCTGGTTTGGAACATGCAAAATATTCCTATTGGTATTGCAACTTCATTGCTTTAAAACACTTTTCACAATACAAATTTATGACTTACTTTAACAACCAGGCTATAGCTTCTTAATATTTTCACCATTCCTTCTCAGTCTTTAGTTCAATGTTTCTCTTATGTATACAAGTAATAAAATACTTGCAAATGAATCTTTCAACTTTTCTGGAAGCCCACCCAAGCCGAATTTTATTCCTATCACACTTATAGCCTTTCTTATTTCTGTTTTGGGCTACCGAAATAATGCAATGGTTGCTGGGATGTTCAAAACAATACTAGCACACTGAGAAGTCTAAGGGTCTTCTGCTCAAATTCAAAACAGCTAGAAAACACCGAAAAATTCTGTTCTTGCTACCACTTCCTCCTATTCCCTAATTCACCTCTACTGACTTAAGAGGGACAGAGAAATTCAGAAAGCCAAAAGGCACAAAAAGGTGGAACAGACGAGTATGAAGTCTTTCGTGGAAACCACTCGATCATCTCAAGCAATGTGAAGAACAGAGACGATGGTATGGACACTGAAAAATGAACGGCCTTCCGGTTCTTTCCTTCTTTCTTACTGCTTCACTTTGACACGCACTGATTATCAAATTTCATTAACAAAGGTTGCTCTTCACCATACAGCAAGAACTTCCATTAAACCTCCACCACTTCTTGTCTCTTGAGTATCAAGTTTCCACAGTTGTTTCCAAGTTAAACATATGCCCCCTCTTTAGGACTGTTCTATTTACAACCGCTTCAGGATGTCCAACAGTTCAATCTCTGTCCTTGAGTCTGGCAACAGACTATCTACCAGAGCCAAGAATAGCTATATAAAATTTTGCAGCTAAACGAAATATATGTACTTAAAAAAAAAAAACAAAAAAACGAACAGACACGTTTTCTGTTTTTTAGGAGAGTAAGGAGAAGATGGAAACACGTAAGATATGCCTTCTTCAAAGATAACATCAAACCTATGGATGTTTCTATTTGGCGTCACTAACACATTTAAGTATCATTTTGACTGCTCAGAATGTATTTCTATATTTCAAAACCAGGGTATTATTTCACTGTTTAATTCTGTCATCCTGAAAGTTTCAAGGAAAACTAACGTTAATGCAGTTGGCAAAAGTTTTCTTCCCTTGCCTTCACTTAAGCTGGAGAATTCTTTTCCACCAGCGGGGGGGGGGGGGGAAATTGCATAAATAATTAGTTCCCTGAAACATCTGCTTCTTCTAAAAGTTCTTAATATAATTTTTACTCCGGTAGTATAAATTCCAAATTTCCTCAATAGAAACTGCAACACAAGTTTGAAGGAAACCAGAAGCAATCATAAACAGCAACTTCTGTGGCCAGGCACAGTGCTCACACCTGTAGTCCCAGCACTTTGGGAGGCCAGATTGCTTGAGCATAGGAGTTTGAGACTAGCCTGGGCAACACACAGAGACCCCGTCGCCACAAAAAAATCAATAAATTAGCCAGGCATGGTGGTGCAAGCCGGATAGGCCCAGCTGCATGGGAAGCCGATGCAAAAGGATCGCCTGAGCCCAGGAGGTCAAGGCTGCACTGATCACTGCATCCAGCCTGGGTGACAGAGTAGATCCTGACTCAAAAAACCAGTACACACGTAAATAAACAAAATGCAACTTTTAAAATATGAGAGTAACTTATTCCAGTTTTCCACCTATTATTATTGTCTGATTAAAGTTTTGCCTTTCAGTGTCAGCACTGCTTTTAGAAAAACCTGTGAAGAGCAGGAGCGAGAGGCAGGTGCCCTGAGCAACTAGGCTTAGCCCTAGACAACATTTACCAGAATTGTCCACTGACTTGTGGAGGACAACAGCTGGGCATAAAACTAACTAGAGTGCCAACCTGTATTAAGTTTAGTACTCCTGATGGACAATTCATCTGGAAGCTCGGAAATCTGTTCGGGTCTCATCTCCAATCAGGGCTAGCTGTATAACTGTGGATCAATAATCTAATCTGATCTAACTTGTCCAAACCTCAAATCCTTATCCATGCCAACATTGGGCCAAACTAGATGATTTCTGAGACGGTCCTCAAATGTAAGTCTGTCTTTGTCATTCTCCACTACACTTTCCACTGTAATCAATGTCATCATTTTACATCGATTCATCAAGCATGTATTAAACACCTACTGTGTGTCTGGCACGGACAGTAACTTTGACCTCAATGAGTTTGCATTTTGATTGCCTCCCTGGCAATATGAGGCAATGAGTAGCTAAGACACAGGCTTGGCTTCAGAAACGGGATGCGAATGCTGAAGGGGCTGATTTGGCTCAGAACTCCTCAAACGACGCACTGATGGATCCGTAGGAAACACTCCCTGTTCGACACTACCCAGAGAATAAAAATGTGTGGAAGACGTCTTGGCTCCCGAGAACTTCTCAGGCCTCACGGACACGACACGCTTCAGCCCAAAGCAAGGGCGAACATCTTCAGGCACTACCCACCCGCAGGCGGCCGCAACCAGGAGGCCCGTCGCCGACAAAAAGGCACGAGAGGGGCGGCTCGGGGCGGGGAGAGAATCGCTCTGTCCGGTCTCTGGGCTGAGTAACGGCCGGACCGATCCGTGCTCGTCCGCTCGGAATCCTCCTGACCCACG